ACATTACTTTTATTTTCGTAAGTTTATTTTTGTATGCTTCCCTGAAGGATCTATTTTAATTTTTAACTTATAGCGAAAAATGTGTAATAAATGAAATTTATAATAAATAAGTGTAAAGTTACACAAATAAGAAGAAATAGCGTTTCTTATACTTTCTGGATTGTTTCGTTGTTCCGCTAGTACCGCTACATATTCAGGATACGCGCGGTTTGCTTCCACAACTTGTAAAGCTTGCATCCACTTTTCATTTATTTTATCTATTCCTTTGCCAATACGCCTGAAACGAGCCTTTAAGTGTCCAAATACGTTTTCCACTACTCTGCGAGATTTAGATAATCTATAGTTGAAGAGCTTTTGTTGGCGGCTTTGTGAAATATGAAACGGATACGGCTTCATTAGCTTGTCACTTAACCGAAATACCGAGTCCCCAATTATAAAAACCGGTACATCAACATCGGAAATAGTTTTTTTTCAATTCGCTTAAAAGAAAGAACACATTCATCCAATTGTTGCTTTAGAGAAGATGTCTGAAAAATTTGAGAATCGTTGCAGCGTCCTGGGCTGCCGGAGCTAACATATATAAAACGACATCTGGAAAAAACAATAAATAAATAAATAAATAAATAAAGGAACTATTGAAGCCTTTCAGTGCTTCTACCTGGCGTCCACCAATGCTAGCAGTACGATTGAATACCATCCCTTATAGTTGTGGTAGTCTGTAGCGTCTTCCTTGGGTGGGTGAATCTCAATATGACATCCATCTATTAACGATTTCATTTAGTAAAAATAAAACAATATTTACTTCATAAAAAGGTGCTTACCAAGTGCTCCCATACATTGGGGAAATCCATATGTTTCAAACTCTTGCACCAAGCCTTTAATTTTGTCTTCTGTCAACGGGAAGTTTTTTAAATATATTGGAGCCAAAACTCTCCAGACCTCATTGCAAAAACCCAATAATATTTTGCATACGGTTGCCTTTCCCACGCCAAACATATTTGCGATTGTGCGATACTCGGAAGATGGCCCTAGAGCATATAGAGCTATAGCAACTCGTTTTTCCAATGGTATCGTTTCTCGCATATTTGTATCACTTTTTCGCAGATCTGGCAGTAGTTCGCATAATTTATAAAAAAGTTGTCGGCTAATTCTGAAGTTGTTTTTAAAAAAAACTTCATCTCCTTTCTGACAATCTTTCTCAAAGAAGGATTGAGTTCGTTCCTACAAAAATATAAACACTTATCCATACAAATTGGTTCAAGCACATCCAGTTTTTACAAATACTTACTTTTTTCCAAATTAATCTTCTTCCGGAGCCAAGTGATTCGTTCAAAGCATACAAAAGATCCAATTCCTCCAAAATCAGCAAATGCTTATCCTGGAGATGCCGTAACATACTTTTGCCTCTTCACTCACCCTAGTTGTGGCCAACAACCTCCTCGACATGATTATTTTCTTCACCATTTGAACTTTTGCATCCATTTTATCTTTAATTGTTTATTCTTTATTTATTTTTCTTGCTTTGTTTTGGCAGCTGTCTGTGTTTTGACATCTGTTTTCTATAAAAATTAGAGAAGACAACGATTTTTTCATGATTCGTATGGTGATTGGATCTGAATCACCTACGAATGAAGTGATTCGCTCTCAAAATTTTGTATGGCGAATTACGTGATTCGGTTCATGATTGGGGCGCCAATCACGAATGAGAGAGCGAATGAAGAATAGGAGAGCGAATCACTTGTCGTGGAGACATCGTATAACATTGTTTAGTTTTGTTTCGTGCAGAATTTGCATGAAGCGAAACAGACATTTTTTTTCTGTTATTTATTCTACATGCTACTACAGCGATGTAAAATTAGGTTTCTGCTGCGCAGCGGCAGCTTTTTTCACGAACTTTTTTATGAAATAAAGGAAAAGCTGAAGATCAGTGTATGTATGTATGCCACACCAAGAAGCTTACAGTGAGCATGTGCCGATATCGCAGCAAGCAGCATTTTGAAGTACAAAAAAAAACAAAAACAGTTGCCAAACGCAATACAGGATGTACAGTGTTTGTTTGTTTTGCTTGTACATAAATTTCGCTTTGCGCATGCCTGAAGCTGGCAAAGGTTCTTTTTTTATTTTTGCGCTGTGCTAGCTGAGTATAATTGGCCGTCTCCATAGGATAAAATTTGCTGTCCAGCTGTCATTTTGGTCGCTAGATATAAATTATATCAGTGGCAATATTTGTGTGGGCTTTTTATATCTTGATATAAGCATCTGTGAAATAGCTTCTAAAACGTATTTTTGCCGGATTTAATCACTTAAAAAATTTAGAAAATAGGCTATTTTACAACCAATTACATAATAACAAATATTTTAACCGAAAACAGTTCAATATTTGCTTTTATATTAAAATATCAATAATGTTGCCGCCACGAAGTTTTCATGCAAATGAACATGTAGCTGTCAAACTACCAAATTGCCGGCAATAGATGGCAAGATATAAGCTCTGATATATATTGCTCTTGAAGAGCAATGAGACTATTTATATTCTAACATATGTATCAAGATATAAACTTTATCCTGTGGAGACGGGCAGTAAGAAGGGAAGAGACTAGAGAGAAATATGTATGTGGCTTGTTGACGCTCTCTAAACACAAACGCGTGAAAGCCGAACGGTCTAGCAATGCGTGGTATTGTTGATCAACTTAATACTTTAATTAAACATACTTATTATTAAAATTTATTTTAAATTTTATTGTGGTATGAAATATGAATCATAGAAATCGACCCAGTACATCGGGTTGTTTTGCTCTCACGTTTTTTTGGGTTTTAATTTTATATATATAGTATAGAATAAATAGATATAGATGAAGATACTAGAATCATTACACTTTAAAGCACTCCGCTGGGTATTGGACCAAACCAATTTTTTTAAAGAGATTGAGTCATAGGTATCAAAGTAATTTCTCCGTTTTTCGAAGTTAGCCTCCGAAATCGAGATATGGGCCTTCGAATTTCGAAATAGGATCTTTGGTAAAAAATTGTTTTTTATTATTATATGTAAATAACTAAAAAACTTAGAATACAGTCGTAGACCGCCCTTTGCTCTTATTTAAATGGTTTATAACTTTTTTTTTAAACTTATATTACAGGTGCTATGGAGGGGTAAAGGTCGGGTCTTCGAAAAATTAAAAACCTTATATTTCAAACAATTTCGAATTGATTTTTAAAAAGTTGGTATCGTTGTTAACGTGATAAGACCCCTTCTTCTCTTCTGATATGAGTATTTGAATACTTTGTATGTAAAAATTTAAGAAACAATATTTAAAAGGAAAAATACCTTTTTTTATAAAAAAAAATATTTTAAACAAACAAATTACTAATCGATTTTCAAAAAATTGGTATCGTTGTAAACGCAATCAAACCTTCTTTCTTCTGATATGCGTATTTGTATACTTCGTGTATGAAAATTTGAGAAAACACTCTTAAAATGAAAAAATACCTGTTTTTTATAAAAAAATTACTAACCGATTTTTAAAAATTTGGTATTGTTGTAAAGGCGATTAAATACACTTTCTTTTGGTATGCATATTTGATTACTTCGTATATAAAAATTTAAGAAACAACACTTAAAAGCAATAAAATACCTTTTTTTATAAAAAAAATATTTTGAGCAAAAAAATTATAAACCGATTTTTAAAAAATTGGTATCGTTGTAAAGGATACCAGAAA